AACCTGTGTGTCCAGTACGTATTGTCTATGTTTATTATTCTTAGTGTTGAATGCTGGGTAAGTTTACCTGCAGAACTGGTCACTTTGAACAGAGCGGCCAGAGCGAACACAGCGAACACAGCTTATACGTGCACCTATATGTACGTACAGTACTTTACCTAGCCAGCATAGGAATTGAAAGAGGTAGCGCGCGGGTACTAGATCCAAAAGCACTAAACCTAAGTACCCGTGTAAAAATGTTAGTGTAATTCATTATACATTAATGTAGTATCCATTGAATAATATATTTAATTAACGTAATATTTGTGTTTAAAAGTTAAGTTAATATTTTGGAAGTCTCTGTAAATTTAGAAATCGGGCGTGGCCAATTTAGTAAGACTGAGGACTCGGCGGACTTTGTCCGATAAAACCCTCTTCCCATTGAAGAGGTGGGTATTTTATATATTTGTAATTATGCTGTATAATTAGATAAAGTGTAAACTGTAATTTCTATATAATATAAAGTTCGAATGTCACAGTTGTAATATACATATTCAGCTATTGTAATGTATGTAACTGGCTACGGCCAGGTAGTTGTTTGACATGATTTAGCTTATATGAATGTTACAATATGTATAGTAATATGATGCATTTCCTGTTACAGGCTTTTCACAAGTAATACATTGACTATAAGAAAAGAACCCAGTAATTGTCATGCATCCAGGATAAAGAAGACTATTGCACACATTTCAGATTTTTAACAAAAAATACTGTAAATTGGATGTGTTAATTAATTGTACTATGTTAAAGTTTTCCGTTTAGCTGGGGGTTGAGCTTTATTTCTCAAAAGGTACATATAATTAAATATTTGCTTATCACTTATACAATGTAAATACGTTTTTGTTTCGCCTACTACGGAGGTCGCGGGGGCGGGATTCAGTTGTTAGTTTTAAAGTTATTTAAACGCGTAACCCGTTTATTTTACACATTACATTGGAGTAATGGCGAATTTTGACGTTATATCGGTGATTATTAGGTTGCACTCGAAACTTTTATATATTCTAATGAAATATTCAGGTAGATAAAAAAAAACTGAATAAGATGGTATATAATAACATATATATTTGATCCTTATTCAGATTTTATATAGCGCTGATGTAGCGAAATCCGCGACTTTTCGTATGTGCGTCAACATCTGACGTTACGTCAAGAGCTAACCAAACCAAACTTGAACCATACATGCATCTAATATACTTCACCTCAATCCATGCATCAGCTGCTGAATGTGGCCTTCATTCCGTGATCCAGTGACCTTGACAGCATCTTCATCGATGTTAATGGTTCGTGTTAAGTTCTGTTTCTCAAAAAGTATAAGTGCAAGACCAACAAACTTGGACCATGCATGCGTCTTATCGCCATTACCGATGTATTAAAATCCATGCATGATGTGATGAATGTAGTCTAAATTTCGCGGTCCAGTGACTTTGACAGCATCTTCCTCAATGTAAAGTGTTTTTGTTTAGCTGTGTGTTATATGTTGTATCTCAAACAATTAAAGTGTTAGACTAATTAAACTTAGACTGTAAGTTGGGATGATCATTACCATCTTAAGGGTTTCAACATCAATGTTTTAACGGAATCAGACAACAAACATGGCCGCAGTATACTGGCTTCTGAACAGTCGAAATTAAGATATTGTTCAATTTCGTACATTTTAGGTGTATTTTGTTACTGCGAACTCAGCTGCAACATCCGTTTTCTGATTTGACTAAACGACCACCTTCTAATGTCTTCTGATTGGTCAAAATTTAGTTATTATTCGATTACAATAAAATTTGGAAAATACGTGTATTTTGGCACTGCGAACTCAGTCGCAGCATCCGTTTTCTGATTGGACAAAACATGGCTGCCGCATATTGGGTTTGGTCGAAAATCAGTTACAGTTCGATTTTGCTAAAAATTAGTATGTAAGTGTATTTGACAAAATGGTTGCCGTATATTGGCTTCTGATTGGTCAAAATTCAGATATTGCTCGATTTCGCTCAGATTTTGTATGTGGCCTGTGTATTTTGTCACTGCAAACTCAACCGTGGCATCCGTTTTCTGATATGACAAGACGGTCTTCGTATACTGGCTTCTGCATGATTGGTCGAAATTCACATATATTTTATTTTTTCTCAAACTGGGTATGTACATGACTTCCGTTCACCTATTTACATTTGTATTTTTCTGAAAGCGCGGTTAGTTTAGGGGACATCTGTAATGACCAGCTCCCATTACAATGCGCACTTGCGCCTTGTATACCTTCATGTTGATGACATTGCTAAACTGGTTTATAAAATGTAAAATTCCGAACTTCGGCTCAAACTTACAATGCTGGACACATTGAATCTTATTCTCAAAGGGGGAACAGGCGAGACACATAATGACGTGTAATTCTTGTTTTAACTTTCGTATCCCCCTCCCAATCCTAACATATATGACTTATTTCCGGGATTTAAACATAATCTTATGGTCAATCAAATTGTGAAATGTAGGTAGAAGGGCAGTGTACCAATGTCTGGAAGGTTTTACCAATGGCGCTGCAGGAAGTGTAGTGAATCGTGTATTCGCCTTTTACTAAGAGAGTCGTATTTCGATTTCCAGATCGGACTGCAAAAAAGTATTTGGTACCTGCCCGACCAAATGCTGGGTTATTTTCGAGTTCTCTGATTTCTTCCAACACCGAGACCCTCTGCGCCCGACCACGTGGACCATCAATAATATTATGTATAGGTTAGAAAATCATTTTCCTTTTATTATAATTATTTCAAAGGTTTCCATTCAAACCAAGAGCGAACAACTCTGTGACGTTTCTGCTTCGGTTAGTCATTACAAAACTAAAGGGGGGATTTTGAAGGGTTGCTTTATAAATTTTAATTCGAGTTCTGTGTTATCATAAGTCAATACTAGTTTTGCACATTGTTCCTGAGACAAGAATTACGATAGATTCAATACAAACTTGTCTTTGAAGATCCTTAACAGATTCTTAACAGGTGGTATATAGCATAGCACCCGATGATTGCATAGCTGTTTTTACCCCATTTAAACAATATGTAATCGTACCGGACAATATGGAACCGCGATATCAATTCAACAGTCATGTTTCCAACATCCGCCAAAATATAAATACTCACAAGAGAGAGAAAAAACACCACACACCTACTATTTATATGTACAGCAATACGCCACTTGGCTTAATAAGTGATCATCTTGAAGTGTCCATGAACGAAAGACATATGTATAGATACAACGTGTAAGTGAATCAGTGTCCAAATATCTACTGGTTCGAGAAGTCGTGAACCGTGAGTGTGGTTTAGTTATTTAGCGGATAAGTTTGTCACCGAACAAATCAATGATGGACGGGTTATAGAAATTCGATTTATTATTGATTGGTGTGTTATAACAGGATTGAATACCCACGTGACTGATAGAATAAAAACAGGCAATAACAACATTAATATATTAAATAAATTGAGCAAAATAGTCAATCAACAAACTTGATACTATCTCGTAGCAAATAAATCATTTTATCATATAATTCCCCTGTAATGCAATTAATTACCTCAAGTTATATAACCTGGAGCGATTTTGATTTGCTGACCGCATCATACTCTCCCACGATAGTAAATTACTCCGCACAACGTCTCGTAGTAAAAGTGTATGTTGGGTCTAAAGATATTATAATTACAGAAAGATTGATGACAATACACATAAACACATTTCCAAAACATTATCTAATCCGTCCAACTCTGGGAGTAAAACAAACGTCCTGAACAACGGTACACATATAACAACTAACTTACAAAACAACAATGTCAACATGAGAGCCACGTAGAGTTCCGAGAGTAGATCGGAGATTACACCATATTTCCATGGAAATGTGCATTCTGTGTTTGGAGGCAACATTTATGGTAGACATTCCAGCATTAACATTTATCAACAATCTCCAACATCACTTCTCAAACCAAGGAAACGACGTATGATTATCGAATCGGACAGTAATAGTCATTTTCAGTGAAGCTGTTGAAGCATCAACTTTCGCGCGCTGTGACGTTTAGGAATGTCGCGCGCTGTGACGAAGTGTGAACGTGGTTGCTCTGTTTTGTTAAGAATTGTCTACAAATTTCAGCTGAAATTCTTTATTTGTACAAAACATTTAAATAATGGATTAAATAATAATGTTTATCCATGTTGTGTGAGTGATTTAAAAACAAATATTATGACTACGATGCATTTGCTCATGTTGCTCGAATGGAAGGGCAGTAATTTAGTCAAATGGTAAAACAGAATCTTACACTCGTTTCCTCGTTTCCATGTCAAATAAGAATTATGAAACCCCTCCCGAAATTTTCATTTTAGCAAGCCTCTGGCGAGCTAAAACGAAACATTTTTAGACTTATTTCATAATTCTCATATGATATGGAAACGATTGCAAGATCCTAAACAAATGTTTAGAAATGTTAGTACGTAACTCTAATTACGAAACGAAACGACGAAACGAAAGAAGATGTCCATAACTTACTAGTTTAAATTTGACGAAAATTAAGAGAGAAAAAAAAATAAAAAATATTATGATCTTCCGTTATGTTAATTTCACTGAAAATGCCAGGTTTAAACCCAAATAAAACATAAGTAAACATTCATGTTATGCAAATTGAACATTTCGTCCAAATTTAAATTATATAGACGGATTTATCAGAGGTTTCACCAGAATGTGGAAATGACAAGATATTCTGTGGTTTTCCCTTAGTTTTTGACAAGTGGTATATTCTGATGTTTGTCTTTTTTACACACCAATTACAGTGACTCTTACCAGGTAATGTTGGTGTATCGAGTTCAATTCCTGTCAGTCATAATGTTAGAGATAAGGGTGGACTAAGGGACATAACTGCTACAGAGATTCTCAAAATAGACCGGGAAGTATTCGGGTAAACGTTAACAAATTGTACACCAGTTGTGTGATCATCGACCTGGTCAGTATGACACTGGACAGACGATTACAGTGTTTGTTATGGCTGTACATCACCACACTCCAAGGTAAGATTACTTATATAAGGTGGAGGGAGAGTAAATATATAACACCTGGCTATAATTATAGATACCCTACTTCCTTGTCGCTGATAAAACAATGACAGTAACAACAAGTAAATAACATACCTATACCTTCAATGATATGATCTATGATAAAATGAAATACCTACAGTGGAAGTTTATTGATTAGCATAAATATATATACGCCTTTAATAGTTAGATGTTATGTGCCTCAATGTTATGCTCCTGTACTTTGTTTTGTTCTCGTACATGTTACTGTCTTTGTCATACGTACCTGATTGTTCGTTCTATACATAGAAACTCGCGTTGTGGTTTTATTCGCATACATAGTAATAGATGTCACGGACTGTAAATTGCGACAACAGAATACCGTTCAATTTAAATACCATACCGTAATCATATGGTAATCCCTTATAAATAGAGTAAGGCAATATTAGCTAACTGTTCAAAACGAAGTTGTTACCATCTACGTATACGGGTATTACATATATATATTGCAGTGAGTGTTTTATAACGTAACTATATTGATTATATCTTATAAATCAAAATTGCGTATTAAATGTTGGTTTATTGGCGACAACTGTGTTATTATTGTGTTCGTATGTTAACATAGCACGCAGTGTGTCACCATTCGTACACAAAGTCACATGATGTTTTACATGTAAACATAGCTCTGGTCAGGTTACTTAAGATCATAGAAAATATTGAACAGAAAGTTACTAAATAGATTGACCAGAATACAAATCTAAGATATGTTTTTGAATGTAGATCATAACGTAGGGAAACTCATGCTTACTTGAATTATGAGTTGAATGTCTGTATTAATACATGTAAGTATGAAAAATAAATAGATTAACTTATTCTTGTGATAAAATATCANTATCTTCAACAACAATAACACAACAAAATGTAGTTCCATATTCAATGTTTATTTGTAGCACAGGACACGTGAATACGTGGATATTTCACAAAGCACAGTTCAATAATATTTTAAGATGTAAGAATTAAGCATCTAGGTCGGTCGTTCCGAGTGAGTAGTTTTTGTAGTGTATTACTACGCAGTGTGATCAGGTTACTATCAGTTCCCACGTGCTGATATTCTATGAACACCTGTGTTATGCATTTATGAATGTAATTTTTGTCAATGGGTCTAAGCATACAGAATGTAAATATATATTTATATTCACTTCTTAATCTTACATAATCGATCATTAATTACAAGCGCTGACATCCAAGTCATTCTAATTTCTACAATTCTGATAATAAATCTGATACATTTTGATTGAATTCAGAGACGATGATGAAAAAAGAGTGTATGAGGAGATATGCAATCAAAGCAAATTCCTTTTAAGTTAATGTCTGAAGTTTGAACAACCGTGGCTCTTAATCGACGACTACAGTATGGTTACTTGCTTGTTTATATGATAAAATTGACTATGATTACAAGTGATTGTACTGTCGATTACTTGCGATTTCCTTGCATAACTATTACATGGTAACAAGTCGCTTCCGATTGTTATTACAGAGGTTTTGCAACCTTACGGGTACATGTGAGCTACAGTACGCGTACAAATATATTCTATGATTACATATAGGACCGTCCACATGTACATGTGTAGCATGTAAGCTGTGACATTTCAACTTTCTATCGTAATATGAAAAGGCAAAGCCTAAAAGAGCGTTGCTTTTGTTGATATCTGATATTTAAAGGGGCTGGTCGGGGAAAAACTATCATATTTGCTAAACTGGCATACACATGTTTAGAATACCTACTTATGAAATATACCGATTCAAATTTTGCTAAAATTTACTCCCTAAGAGTAAAAAATATAATTATATTAAAGAAATCCTAAATCGTCACCTGACAGTCTAAAACTCTTAATTGACCCAGATCAGTGATGTAATTTTACCGCACGTGCGTCATCAACAAGGCCAAATGTAATCATCGCGGCGAAAGAAAAAGATGCATGCAAAAGTCATTGACAGGCACGAGGTATCAATATCATTATATATAACAACAACATATAGGTAGGAATACTACACTTGCATCAAACATGACCTTTGAAAACAATTATTTACGTATAGTATTGCTGG